GAGGGTGAAACTGGGTCATCCTGGCAGGAAGTGAAGGCTCTTTGTTTGGGCAGCCCTTGTGCTGAAGGAAGAGTTTTCTCCCCATCACATTCCCTTGTTTTTTCTTCATTCTTGTTGGTTTTCCTGCACCATGTTACCTCCTGACTAGGCAGTGCTGCAGGGCTGCCCTTGCAGAGTGACGTGGTGGGCAGCCACCTAAATTAGGCTGCCTTTTTTCTTTTTGCTTAGTTTTAGAGCTTGGAACTTGTGGGTGATGAGACTTTCCCAGGTTTTCAGAGTCTAGTGGAAGACTCAGTGAAATGGTGGAGGAGTCTGTTGTCCCTTGGGTGAGCGATGTGTGTGAGGCACGTGCTGGTCCTGGCTGTGCGTGTGCAGTGACAGGCTCTGCAGGAGCTGTTCCCACTTAGAAGGATCTTGCAGTTATTTACAATTAGTGTGGGGCAGCCTGAGCTCTGTTTTTTGCTTGATGGATGGGAATGGGCTAGGAAAGGGGTGGAAAGCAGTGCTGCTCACTCCAAACCAGACAGTGACACCAAAGGCACAGCGATGGGTGGAAAGATTGCCCAAGGAATGGAGCAGAGCTGAAGCAGAGTGTCCTCAGCTGGGAAGAAAGGCCTGGATAAAAGAAGTAAGATAATAAATTCATGAGTGTGCTGGAAGAGGAGAATCAGGAGCAGTGACTGAGTAGTTCTGTAGCAGCTGCCTTGGTTTGCTGGCCTTATACAAGGCCATAAGTGTGAAGCAACCAGAAAGAAGGAGGTGCTTTCAAAGCTTAGCGATGAAATTTGTTTCTCTAGGGGTTGGTTGCCAAAATGGACAGGTTAAATTATATATATATATATATATAGTGTATGCCAAGCATTACAGTTGTGTACTTGTACCTTTTGCTAAGCCTTAGCCAAAGCCAGGTTGCATGTGTAGAAAGACTGATAATCTCACACAGGATGGTGGTTCTTGACTGTTGATCAACCATACAGTGAGTACCTGCACATACAGTGCCACGTGCATTCTCTACATGTTGTACTGTACTGCAGTGACTCCTGTTTTGCAGACCTTATGGGTGACCTCTGGGGTATGATAAGCAGCTTGTTTAAAAATTTAAGCCATTCTGTTGGGGTAGGGGAAATAATGTTTGCCCAGCAGTGTGGAACAAAGGAGTTTGAAGATAGCTTAAGGAAACAATGGTGTATTAATGAACTTACCCCTTAGGAAAACTACTGATGCAAGGAGGGGAGGAAGGAAGAGGAACATGGTTTGCCATTCTTTTTAGCCATTTCTCTGTTGTTAACCACCAGCAGGCAGTGCAAATGCTGGGTGACAGTCAAGGAAATCTCTGTCTCCTGGTTTTAGTGCTGAATGAAGTTAAGCATCAGTGAGGCTGCGCAGGGACTGTCGAGTTCAGCACTAGTGAGACTGTCCCAGCTCTTCCTCCTGCAGCACCGTGGAAAACAAAGGGCTTTCTTGATGGTTGGATTTGTTCTTTTGAGCTTTGTCTCTGAGAGGTGCTCACTGGGAAACCCAGAGAAATGAACCCTGATGCAAGCTTGTAGGGGTTGATCCTGGTTGCAGTTCTCATGGAATTAGTAGTTGGGGTAGGAACCCGCAGGAAAGCTTTGGTGATACGTTTGACTAAGAGCTCAGGTGTGTCTGCAAAGTATCTGCTTCGTGATTCAGAGCTCTGCCTTGCAGACACGTACCCAGATGAGGAAATAAGGCTAGAAAGCATGTAATGTCATATGTGAGTTCATGGGAGTGATAAAAACCTCAGTATCATCACACAGTTCAGAAAGGGCAAGTAGAGGTGGATGTATGTGTAGCAGTGACTGGCAGTGGAAGTGAGGGACAAGGAAAGATTCTTTTTGAGAACCTAATTTTTACAACTACCTCCTGGGCTTGCTGAACACCTTGACAAATTCTTCAGGAGTTTTCTCATCTCCAGTACATTGGCTGGAGTGTTCTTGCTGGGCACCTTCTTTTACATCTTGCCTAATCTCACTTGTGTTACTTTACCCTCAGCTTTGAGGAGGAAAGTTTTTGCCCCAGTGGAATATGCCCTTCTTATTCTCCTTGTGTTTTCCACTGTTCTCTTGTTTTTCTGAGGTCTCTGCCCAAGCATCTGTCCAGCTTTAGCAGGCCCTGGCCAGTTTTTCCCCTCAGTCCCAGTCCCATATCAGCAGGCAGGAGCTCAGTCATTGCCTCCACTCCAAACCTGCCTCCTCTTCTGAAACTGTTTTGACATGGAGCTCTTAAACAAAGACCACCACTAGTTCTTTCTTGTTTCCTATGCTGCCATTCCCCTGATTGCTGAAGCCATTGGATTAACTCCTTCTTTCTCAGACTTTCTGCAGAGCTGCTGATGTGCAGTTTTCTTTACTCATCCCTCTGGCTGTAGGCACCCAAATATCAATGACATTGAATGCAGATAAATTAACTGATGCATTTGAAGGGAAGACTGAACTTCACTGGAAAGGGTGGGCTCAGCTGACTGTCCTCTTAGGTAGAAAAGCTTTGGAAAACTGAAGTACTCCGTGTGCTGGAGCTTGGCAGTGACCATCAAAGCAAGCTGAGCCCGGGGGGCTCTTAAGGTTTATGAAAAACAGTCATGCCTTATATATGCCATATATATATACACATATATATAACCAAATGGTTACTCTGCCACATGCAATAGTACGTAGTATACACACACAGCACTCGCTCTGGCCTTGTTCTCTTCCCTGGGAACTTGCTTTTTGATGCTATTTCGGGATGATTTTCTGGGTTAGATGAGCATTAGTGACCCATTATGTCCCAATTCTGTATTGGTAGCATTGAAGTGAGTTGTAGGGCTTGCTGCCTGCCTTTCCCAGGCTCCCTGAAGGGAGAATTTCCTTGCTGGAGATTCGGTAGGGGCATTGCATTGCAGTGCAGTGGTTAAAGAGCCTCCAGGTAAATCTATGTTGTACTTGTCTGTTTTAAGTGAGCAGTTAAGTGGTCTGGCTGGCCTAGCAGTGGAAAAAAACCCCCATAAATAAAATTCCTCTAATCCCTGGCATTGGTTAAGCAGTTAAAAGTCTTGACAAAGGCATTAAAAGATATAATCTGCAGGGTACAGCACTGCCTTAGCTGGGACAACTTCCTCAGGAGGTGCAGAGGAGGGGCAGGCACTGATCTCTTCTCTATGGTGACCAGGGACAGCACCCAGGGAATGGCTGGAGCTGTGTCAGGGGAGGTTTAGGTTGGATCTCAGCAAAAGGTTCTTCCCCCAGAGGGTGGTTGGCACCGAACAGGCTCCCCAGGGCAGTGGGCACAGCACCAAGGCTGCCAGAGCTCCAGGAGGGTTTGGGCAACACTCTCAGGGACAGGGTGGGATTGTTGGGGTGTCCTGGGCAGGGCCAGGGGTCGGACTGGATGATCCTGGTGGGTCCCTTCCAGCTCAGCACATGCTGTGAGTCTGTGACTGTGCCCGGATTGCACGGCCCGAGGAGCCTTAGAATGAGCTCAGGTGGGTGACATCTGCAGCCTTTGAGCCTCGAGGGCTTCTCGGTGCCCTCCTGGGAGGGACAGCAGCCCTGTTCCCTTGGAGTGGCCTCTGGAGCCCTTGGTGTGGGCAGTGCTCTCCTGGGCACGCTGTGGGGTCAGCAGGGCTGTTTCTGTGGTGCTGCAGGAGCAGCGTGTAAATAAATAAGGGAGAGCCTCGGGATCCTTCCTTGGGGAGGCACAGCCGGCACTCTGAGGTGATGAAACAGCGAGCTGTAAACAAACAGCTCTCTCCACACTGCCAGGCACTGCTGCAGCTAAACATAACCCCGGGGGCTGGGCCTGCCTGGCCTCTGCCACGCTGGGCTCCAGTGGCGTTACAAAGGTGAAATTCTTCACTCTGCGTCAGCCAGAGCTCTCCTGGGTGTGCTGATGGTCTCTCTGGGCTCAAACCTGCCCGTTTTGGGAGTGGGAGCTCAGTGCTGAGCAGTCAGGTCAGCCTGACCCCGCTGCTTGCCCTCCCAACACCCATCCAAAGAGGATCCTGCTGGCCAGCCTCTCCCACTCCATTCCAGCAGCACTGGAGTCGCAGTGGAGACAAATTATGCTCCTGGTATTTCTCCCTGTGGCGTGTGGGAGGAGGTGTGCAACAAAGGGGAATTTTGGTGACCCGTCTGCACCCTGTAATAGGGGAAGGAAATGGCAGGGTACAGCTGCTCCGGGCAGGAAGGTTCCTGAGCACGTGGTACATTAATATCCACTTCTGCTTCTCAGACAGGGAGAAGCTCCAGAAGCCTAATGTAAGAAATGGTCTGCTTAGTCATGCTGCTTAGAGGTTTATTAAAGTTGTGTTACTGTGACAGTCTTGTCTTTTGATGGCTGTGTCATGAGTAATACGTGAGATGGGGTTTATGAGTATCAACTCTCTGAGGTGTCTTTAATGTTGCTTTTTGAATGAGGCTGAGCCCAAGGCCCTGATTCCTTGTGGCTGCTTTAATGACTCAGTTGTGTGTGATTGGGAGAATACACGATGTGCCGGGGTAGTGCCATCAGGAAATTATTCACATACAGCCTTGCTCCAGAGTGCTGGGCTGGATGCTTTAGTAATTAGCAGAAATGTAATGGACATTTGTGTTCGCTCTTTCTCCTGTCCAGGCTATCAAATATGTCTGGAACAGGCTGCTTTTCTTTCCTCATATTGACAGAAACATGAAGTGATTGCTTCCAGATCTTTCTTGGAAGTGCTTTAATCATTAGTGGAAACAGAGGATGTTGCTTTGCTGTTGCAAGACTTAGGGTGAGCAGCTGATGCATGACTGGAAAGGAGCACGTCATTCCCGCTGAGCTAAACTCATGTCACTTACGAAAATCACTTCACCTCACTCTCTGCCCCTGTGATAGGGTTAAAAACAAATGTGCTGCTTGACCAGGTATTTTGAGGTCAGTCTCTCCCGGGGTGTGCTGGGGAGCAGTCGGCGATGGAACCGGCGTGATGAGCAGGCCAAAGCAAACCCGTTCTCCTGTTTGTTTTCCCTCTGCAGGGCAGACTCTGCATCCCACATGAACTACGATAATCCTCCTCCTTACCCCGGCCCGGGCCCCACCGCCCCGTACCCACCCTATGCGCAGCAGCCGGGTGGTCCCCCCGGCCCCTACCCCGGGTACCCCCCCGGGCCAACCGGGCCCTACCAGCCAGGCCAGCCGGGTTACCAAGGATATCCCCAGTATGGATGGCAAAATGCACCTCCACCCCCGGGACCGGTGTACGCCGATGGGCCTAAAAACACAGGTACGTTTGCGTCCTTGCACGGGACACGCTGACCTTGAAGCCGCTGGTGCCTGGCCCTAACCAGGCTGGGGGGGGGGTGGGGGTGGGAAGAGGTGAAGACTTGTTTGTGGTAGTGATTTTGTTTACAGCTTGATTTTCTTTGAAGTAGTGGTTTTGTTTACAGCCTGTCTTCCTGCTTTTGTTTTGCCTTCGAGTCTCCAGCAGTTCTCTGGTTGTTGGAAGGTGCTGCTGAAAGTCCTTAATGCTGGTCCCTGAGGGAATGCCTGTGCTGAGGTTGTTACACAGGCTTTCTGATGGGTTTAGGTTTGCCACAAGTCTCACTCCACCTGTCTCTTGGCTGATAAGTTTCAACCAAGGGCTGCACAGTTAAAGCTCTTAATATTCAGATGTACAGTTCCTGCTGAATTAATGGGCACCGGTTTTCTTCAGCCCATCACTCTCTGTCCAAGTGATCTAATCATTCCTGGGCTTTCTGGTTGGTTTTTTTTCTGAAGCTATTATCACTCTGTGGAAAAAGCCAGATTTCTGGGGAAGGGAAGGAGGATGATGTACCTTCCCTTGGCAGCTGGCTGGTCCATCTGTGTGCCACGTCCCCTCAATATGGCATGTCGGTGTGCTCTGGCACCCACAGCTCTCGTGGGGCTCACTGCAGTGCTTGCAACAAGCTCCATTTGTCAGAGGAGGGCTGAGAAGATGATTAAGGGACTGGAGCTTCTCCACCTTTATACAAGGAGAAGCTGAGAGAGGTGGGACTCTTCAGGGACCTTGAGCAGTGGTGTAGGTCTATCAGGAGTGCCCAAATTTAAGCAGTGAACAATTGGTATGAGTGAATAAGAACCTGAATTGAGTGTAAATCATGAGTTCTGCTTCCTCTGTAACAGAGTGAAAAATCTGCCTCGCAGTAAGAGGCAGCAGCGTGGTGCTGCTTCCCACCACTTCCACCACATGAGCTCCAAGTGTAATCAGGGTTTTCCCTGGGAAATGCACATGATTTTGGGGTGGCTGAGAGACATTTCTCAGTACTGGGCAGGAGAAAATCTCCTAGTCTCCCATGTTGAACATCTTTGGTAAGTGCCAGTGTTGCTTTGCTGCTACAGCCACAAAAAGGGCAGAAGCTGAAGGGAGACTGGGATTGTTGCCTTGGACAGCCTGACTTTGGGCCAGGTCTGCTGCCTTGGAGGCTTGAAGGATCTCATCTCAAACTGGACCAGGGAACTGATGACACTGAATGTCCTCTGCTCTTCCCACAAACCTGTGGACCAGCACAGGCTGGGAAATGGGAGAGGAGAAGTAGCCAAGTGTTTGAGTGTGTCTTTGCCTGAGAGCCCAGTGCTGCAGCAGGGATGGGTTTGTTGCTAAACCTGAGCAAACACAACTGCAGTTCTGCAGAAACAGCACTCTAACCCACAAACCAAAGATCTTCTGGTAAGTCTTGGCCTTGAACTGCTTTCCTGTAGCCATGGGTGGTCTCTGAACTCACCTTGGGAGCCTCTAATTCACACTACTTTTGCTGAAGTGGGTGTAAAAAAAGTCATGGAATCATAGAATGGTTTGAGTTGGAAGGCACTTACAGCTCATCTTGTTCCAAACCCCTGCCATGGGCAGGGACACCTTCCACCAGCCCAGGTTGCTCCAAACCCCATCCAACCTGGCCTTGGACACTTCCAGGGATGGGGCAGCCACAGCTTCTCTGGGCAACCTGTGCCAGGGCCTCTCCACCATCCCAGGGGAGAAATTCTTCCATATATCCCATCTAACCCTGCTCTCTGGCAGTGGGAAGCCATTCCCCCTTGTCCTGACCCTCTAGGCCTTTGTCCCAAGTCCCTCTCCAGCTCTCCTGGAGCCTCTTTAGGCCCTGCAAGGGGCTCTCAGGTCTCCCTGGATCCTTCTCTTCTCCAGGTGAACCCCCCCAGCTCTCCCATCCTGGCTCCAGAGCAGAGGGGCTCCAGCCCTTGGAACATTTCTGGGGCCTCTGGACTCACTCCAGCAGCTCCACATCCTTGTGCTGTTGTTCCCCAGGGTTGGAAGCAGCCCTGCAAGTCAGGTCTCACCTGAGGGGTTGAGGGGCAGAATCCCCCCTGCCCTGCTGCCCACGCTGGGGGATCAGCCCAGGGCACATGGCTGGGGCAGATTGAGCTGCTTGTCCACCAGCACCCCCAAGCCCTTCTCCTCAGGGCTGCTCTCTGTGTTTGTGCTTGGGATTGCCCCCACCCAGCTACAGGACATTGCTGTGTTGGCCTGTCCAGGTCCCTCTGGATGGCACACGTTTGTTTTACACACCTTTATTAATGTGTGTGAAATAAAGTCAGGGCTGTAACTTAGTGTTTGTCTGCAAAAGCTTTTTCTTGATTCTCCTTCTGTTCAGCACCCTTCCCCCCACACACACTTTGCTTCTTTTTGGCCAATCTGTCCGACTGGAACCTGATCTTTGTCCTGTGACGTCTAGGAGAGCTTTCAATAAGGCTTTGTTCAGGGATCGCCTCCAGAAGTATCTGATTTAAATGGATGCCCCTAAAAAAGCTAACTTCTTGAAAATCTGTTCTACCAGTGCCCACATATCTATTGGTGTGGCTGAACCTCTAATACAAAAAAATCTATGTCTGAGTTTAATCAAGTCATTGCAGTCTGCCTTGCTGGTCGGGCACGATTTCATGGGGCTTGGCAGTTCCTGTGGTGTTTCCAAACACTTATCTGGGAAGAGCTGCTGTGTGGATGCTTCCCTTCCAGAGCAGATGTTTTGCTCTCCTAGATGACTTTGCTTAATTTAATGAATTAAGCTATTCCAAGCGGTGCATCAGTATTTCTGAACAAACTTATGTCCACATGGAAAACGAGGAAGTTTAGATTTTATGCTTTACATAAAAATTGTGGTTATACATTGAGACTTAGTGGCAGTGGCCATGTGACTCCCATGTGTTACAGCACTGTGGGAGAGTGAGATCACATCAGCTGGTGTTCCTTGGTCCCTTCTCCCAGAGGGGTTGGAGTCCAGTGTGTCCAAGCTTGCACAACCCCCTTCCCAGCTACCTCAACTCTGCAGGGCATGAAAGGCCTCAAAGCTTATGCTTCTTCTCCAGGTGAAGGGGCAGTGAGCTGGAGAGCCTGGGTGACTTGCTGAGGTGGCACAGAAGACCTCATGGCCGTGGGTTTGGGTTTTTGTTTTTTGGGTATTTGGCTTTTGGGCTTGCCCAGGTCACCTATACCAAGGTCTCCACAGAAACCCCACTTCTTACATCTTGCAAGGGCTGACAGCTGACTTGGCTGGTTTTTACTGGCAGTAAACAACTTGACCTTTACCTTTAGAGCCGATAACTTTTATGCTGAGCCTGAGGGACGTTATTCTTAAGGGTGTCTGATTCAGCCTCCTCACGCCATGAACTGACGTGCTGATCTCTGTCTGCAGTTTTCCTGCTGTCTGTCCACACAAAGTCCATCCAGGCATGAGTTCCTGGAATACAGTAGACATGCCCACACAGCGCTTTCTTGTGGGTAGAGGGAACCCTCTTGCCCCAGAACAACAGCAGGAAACACACAGCTTTAGGAGCTCAGTGCCTGTGTGGAGCACGGTGTAAGGACCAGCACCTTCCTGAGCAGCAGGGCTTGCTTGGGAGGAAGAAAATCTCTCATTCCACGAAGTATCTCCTTTCCTCACCAGTAGTTTCGTTATTTGTTATCAACTGGCACGAGGAAACCGCAGTAACTGCTGACTGGTGAGCTGGTACTTTCTTGTCTGTGTAAATTCTGGAGGTGAAGTGTAACGCTGCTGATAATGGCATTCTTTAAAAAGAAGTGGGAAGAGGCAAAGTCCGAAGTGACACACTGATTTTTGAAAGAACGAGCTGATGTTAGCAATCCGTCCAGCTTAATTTCTTCCCCCCCCACCCCGCCCTCCCTGTTGATACATACCGAGGTAATGGATGAGGCTGCTCCCTGCTGTGCCAGAGGGAGCCAGGCTCTGCCAGCAGGCACCGAGGGCAAACAGAGCTCAGCGTTGCGTCTGACCTATTGGACACGCAGGGTGGAAATCTTATTTCTGGAGGTTGATTACTTGTAGCAAAGCCGGCTGCGATAAGAGTAATAGTCACAGTGATGCTGTCTGCCTCCTGATGTTTGGCCAGCTGCAAGAATAAACAGGTCACCTAGATACAGTCACTGCCTGCTGCCAGAGGGATTTTTCCTCTTTCTTTACCTGTCTCAGTGTGGAAAGGAGGGGATCCAGGTCACTCTGATTAGGCTCTCTGGTGCCTTTCAGTGGTTACCCCTTCGCATCTCCAACCCTGCTGAGCTGAGCCTTCCCCAGCACAAGTTAATTTGGAGGGCAGCAGGAGCAGTTGCAGCAGGATTTCTCCCTCGTCTATTGATCCTTTCCAAGCAGTCTGTTGGAGCATTTAGTTTAACTGTTCCTATACCTTCAGGACCTTCCAACTTCAGATGCTGGAGTCCTGCCAAAAAAAATAAGTCTCACTTGGCAGTTGTCCTCTTCTCTGCTTCTCGTTCTGTAGTGTGCTTTAAAACCCAGCATTCTCTCTCCTCCAGGATTGCTGTATCATCCCTCCCTCTGTCCCTGGCTGCACAAACAGCAGGGGCTGTTGGCTGGCAAACAGTGCAGTTCTAGGGCTGATGTCTCACCTCACCTTCACTGCTTTTCACCCCCGGGAAGGGGCTAATCTGATAAAAAACTGGTGCAAAGAAAATTACTCCCAGTTCAGGTCCGGTATCTGAAAACACGCTTCAGACAAACCGGCCTCGGGAGGCCAAGGCTGGCTCCACTGTGGGCTGGGTTCAATGAGGCTGCTGTTCCAGGCAGTCCTCATCAGCTGGGCTCCAGGCTGGGTGAGGAGCAAATCCTGCACAGTCTTTTCCAAGCGCTGCACAGACTGTGGTGCTCGAGCCCTGGGACTGTGCAGGGAGAGCCTTTTTGCCCTGCTCACTGTGGCATGTCCCCCTTGCTTTAACACTTGGACTTTGTCCCTCCTTCTGTCTGTCACCCAGAACACTCT